TTTTACTTACAACCACTAATCGTGACAATATCTTTACAGTACAGCAACCAACTGCATTAGAATAATTTGTATTAGGGATCGCAACTACGTGTGCGGCAGGTTCGTAAAATGAGGTAACACAATTTTTGGCGAAATCATATTTAAACGCAACTTTACGACATTATACAGAAACCAAGGCACATGCGTGTACTATTTTTCAGGATAATCTCCTTCCCTTTGAGGCACATGCCATACCATGAGAAGAAATCATCTACGCCCTTGCAGTAAAAGTGTAGGCTCATTTCCAGTAGCCAACGACGCACTTCAAAGTCGAACGTCCGCATCTGTGGCGAAGTGCCTTCCAGAAAGGAAGTCGGAACAGCGCCCTTCTGGAAGGCATTTCATTGCAGATTAAGAACGTTCAAATAGAAGTGCGTCATAGAGTAACGGGGTTCAGCCCAGGTTATAATCTCAACTCGCGGTGAGGCAAAGCAATTTGTTGAAAAACTGTTAAATATGTGCCTTAATGTCTATGTAACTTCACAAGAGTACGATTTAAAACTGTTTGGAGTGAATATGGACATCATAAACTCACAGAAAAAAAATGAAAAATTTCTCATACAGATCAGCAAAAAATTGTTCCAGAAAAAGATACAGATAAAGCCGTGCACATCAACATGACATAAAACCAAACACAGCAACAAAATCATAATAAGGTAAAGTTGTCCCTCCACATAGGCGTATGGGGGAGTGAATGTGTAGATCCACATTTTTCTTTGCCTCGTCACTAGCTGGGAGTGAGTGGTCAACTTCACTCCACGGCCGCTTTACCCCCGGAAAGTGCCCTTGGTACCCATTGGATAGGAGGTTGGGTGGACCCCAGAGCCGGTCTGGAAGACTTGGAAAAAATTCTTGACCCTACCGGGACTCGAACTGCGATCCCTCAGTCGTCCAGTACGTAGCCAGTCGCTATACCGACCGTTTATAATGTAGGATGAAAAGAAATTCGCGCACGGGCTCTCCAATAGAGATTCCTTGTTGTAAAGCAAACCGAAGATGTATTACAACATATGTCTTGAGACGCTTGGTTTTCTACGTACACGTCACCGTCAGCTGGGGTAACATGTTTATCAGCAGTGTGATTTGTCACGACGATACACAGTGCACTGTCAGGTGTTCTCAGGGCACAGTGCACAGCAGGCGTCAGTTGTGATCCAGCGATCATGGCACGCACACGATGAACTTGCGACATATTCTTAACTCTCGTTACCTGTAATAATCGAGGTGGTACTGCTGTACGGAATTACTCGCTGCGTTACCACGGTCGTCGTTGTCGTCCGGATAACAATGTGTTCTGACGATTGGAGCAGCGTCTCCGTGAAACACCTATGGCATGCATGAATGCAGGCCGCCCACAATTAAGATACCATAATTGCAGCTGTAGAACGAGAGCCGTGGAGAAGCTCACGCGACGTCGCACGGGAATTTGGACCATCTCAACAGAGGGCCCTACAATTACAGTATGCACCAAAATATTCAGTACTGAAATGAAATGACGTCCTGTTGATACCACTGTCTATTCAGTGAAGTCCCCTCTGCACAACAGAACCTTCTCAAATCCTGAAGAATGGTTCGATCACCATGACCCTGTAGCGTTCTTGGGTGACGGTAGGAGCTTTGCCTTCCTCATCCTCAATGAAGTAGAGACCTAATATACCGTGTGCTCAGAGGGCACGCCATATCGTCACACGTGTACTGTGTGGCGGTTTCTGGACGATAACATCTGGCCGCTCAAAACCAAGGAAGCGAGTTGTCTGGCGACAACTTCCGTATGAGCGGAAATAATACTCAACTATGAATACTTTTTCCTCCGTCGAGAGACCCATTGCCAACAACTGCACAGCACTTCCTTTTCATTCCTGGGTACGCGTGCGGCTGGAGCTATGCCCCGTCGACAAACGCACATGCGCGTTCGAGATGCGCGAGTTTCAGTACTGTAACTTTTGGCGCATACTGTACTTTATGAATGTCAACTGCAGAGTGCACACCTGTTTCCAGATGACTGCCTTCTACGGATACAAATTTGCTAATGGCTACATCAACACATTACGGGTGAGCTCTTTTTACATAACATTCCGTACACATACGAGGCATGTTTTGTGCGTGGGGGTGTTTCAACGTCCATAACAGTCACCTCTGCGAAGGGGATAATCCTCATGCTATCGGCAAATGTGGCTACCAAGTCCGCTTCAGCGTCAGCGTTTGGGCTGAAATCGTCGGGAACACTGGCGTGGGGCCTATCTGCTACATGACAGGCTGACTATTCAAAGATGTAGATATCTTATGGAAACTCTTCTATCGGGGAAAATGTGCCTGTAGCTGTGGTTTCGGGACGACGGAGCTCCAGCGCACTACAGGAAAGATGTCCGGCACTGGTTCAACGCGACATATCCAGGAACATGGACTGAATGTTGAGGGCTGACTGCATGCCTCCTCAGTCGCTGGACTCCGATAATTTTTCCCCCTCTGGAAACATCTGAGCACGTTTATGCAATCCCTTTGAGGACTATCGAAGATTTCGTGGCAAGACTTCAACCAGGCCAACATGTTACGGCATGTTCCAGGGACTGTCGTGTGACCTACTGATGTCTGCCTTGAAACTGACGGAGGCGGTTTCGAACACCTATTTTAACTGCGACACGCCCATGGTTTGATCATTCAATAGCTTGTGCAATCTGACGGTACCGTGTATTCTGAAGACTAAACGCCACTATGGACAAGCTGTGCGCGAATCTCAATTCACCCTGTAAGCAGAAACCTAATATTCTTTTAAGAATGTTTCCAAATGTCGGTATCCTGTAACAATGCCACTAGAGATAAGAGGATACTGGTAAAATTACGAGAGTAATAAATTCTGGAAACATTTATTATTACAAAGAAGTTTAACATGTGATAAATTAATCACGCCCGCCACAAAGAAGTATAGGAGATGGAGACATAGCTCCATCAGTCTTGGCCTCCGCATTAAATGGAGATGCCTAGTCAGTTTTGTGCCCCGGCCACTTTACCCCGATACCTACTGCAAGGGAGGCTTGGTGGGCTTCACAGCTGGTCTTGAACGTTGTGTAGTAAAGAAAAATATCTTGTCCTTGCCGGGTATCGAACTCCGCAAGTCGAACCCGTAAATGTTAGTATTCGGTTCAAAGGATGTTATCCGCTCAACAGCAGACCGTGCTTAAGACCTGGTCTCTGGGTTGAGCATGAAGGAAAGTTCGAAGTATGGTATGACGAAGCGTGGCGTTGTTGCAACTGAACTACAGAAGGGAGGAAAGATTATGCTACAGCCCTCTTATTCCCTTACACATCTCACATCCCCAGTAATTCACAGAATATCCTACTGAAAACGACCTGACACTAATGATCAAGGCAGATGAAACAGTTTACCACTTATTTTGCACAGATGCTCAGGAAACCGAAGGTGACTGACTTATGACATGCAAAGCCGTATAGTCCAGTAGCCAGCTACCTACCTTGATGGGCTGGGCTTGTAGCAAGGATCAGAGAGACTAAAAATGCATACATAATTTGTGAGGAAATATCTCAGAAAGCGCCCATATGGAACACTGAAAAGGTTGCACAAGGATAAGGGTTACGAAGAGAGAACTGGATGGAACTGGCTCAGGTTCACGTCTAAGGGCGTACTTTGATATTGGCGGTGTGGTATATTCGGACCACTACCAAAGAGTTCACTATGGTGAAGTATTGAGGAGTCAGGGTTCGATTCCCGGCAGAGGCAACGTCCAGACCGACTCCGGGGCCCAACCGGCGCCCTACACAACGCGTACCGGAGACTACTTCCAATGGAGGACTCGGCAAGGGGCGTGAAGCTGACCAGTCACCACATCCAGTGTCGAGGTTGGAAATCATACGTCTTCATGGTGTGGTGCTTAATTAATTAAGCCCGGTATTAACATTACCTTTTACCACTACGTTAGAATATTATATATTATATTATATTATTGGCAATAAGTTCAATAAAACCGGATTTCAGCCAGTGGTTTGGGTGGGGGTAGGAAGATTTTGTTAGGTTTCTTAAATGCAAATGAAACCCGAGATCGGTGTTCACCGTCTTCGAAAGCTGACGTGAACCAGTACCGGTAAGGAGCCAATAAAACCATTTTTAAAACATCAGGATCTTGGGCAGATTAGGTGTATGGATGTGTATATCCGCTCACTCTTAAACAAAGTTGCATCTATTTGTTGCCATCTCCTTTCTAGTTAGGTTTTGCGCAATGCACGTCCGATTATTATCAAGCATGGAAGCCTACTATAATATTCTGTTATTCACTGAAAAAATATGAGCGATAACCAAATAAGGGTCATTGCTGTCCATATCATATAAAGATATCGCCTTGTAATATACACGAGACCTTTAGAGTAAACAACAGTAATTATTACAAGTATTATGTTTTTGGACATTATCCACCGTCTTGTCTATTTTCTAAAAAACAGTACTGTTTCTTTTTTAAAACAACGTTTCGGAGACTGGATTCCGTCCTCGTCCTCAGGTAAAACCTACTCAGATAGATAGAGCTAGCCCCTATCTCCGGAGACAGGACGGTTTTTGAAAAAATAGACAAGACGATGGATAATGTCCAAAAACTTAATACTTGTGGCAATATACCATCGTCACAAACCTTTAGATCTAACAGTAATTATCAAAATATTATTTACATAGCAGTGTCGGTATATATTTAAAAGTGAAGCTAAGGACATTTGAAGTAACCCCGCTAAAGTGAAGTTCTCATTGGTAATGTCCTTGTTGTAACCAACAAAACCTAGCCAAGGAAACACGCGTTTCCTTGAAACTATATTATGAAAAGTGTGGAGCGATTCCAAAGCAGCACAGACTTAAAATGTAAGCAGAGACATATAAACCCTTGAATTATAAATATAACTACAGTTATTTATACATGGAAATTGAGTTTCTCTCTTTTCTTATTCATAACCCGCTGACTTACCGTGCACAACCAATGTCAACAGCGAGAGGATTCCAACGATAGTAGTCCATGATTTTAAGGCGAATATCCTCCCTCTTTGCCAGTTCATCTTGAGATATACTTAACGAATTAATAACTCATCCATCTGGTTTACATTTTCACTCGTTACCTTACACAAAGCCACATTAAATGCCTACTAAATGTCAACACATCGTAAACAAAACGCCACACCACCGCCACTACAGCTGCCAACACACTGATGCATCCCTGTAGGCGGTATGTAATCCCGCGCGGAGTGATACGTACCACACAAACATCTGTGAACATATGAGTACGTTTTTCTTTGTTCATAAACAATTTTGAATCTGGCCGCTGCATGAATTGTAGTCCATTATAGTCACTATTATCAGGAGAATAAAAATACGTTTTATTTTCACTTAAAACAGAATACCACTCTATGTATTTCTATTTTGTATTCCAATATGGACATCTTCTGCCATCTATGAAATGAGGCACTTAACTACTGGCACACTGCTCACCTGTCGCCACTGTAATTAAGTGGAGACGTATATCAATGCGCCGGTGTGTATGAAGTTAACTATTTAAAATATTAGCAAGGTCCACCAATATTGGATTTGGCCGCGCCATAGCTCAAGTGGTTAGTCGCTGGCTTCCCAGTGCGGCGGCCCGGGTTCGATCCCGGTTCTGGTGAAGTGGGATTTGTGGTGAACAAAGTGGCGCTGGGGCAGGTTTTCTCCGAGTACTTCGGTTTCCCCTGCCCATCTTCATTCCCCCAATTGCTCCGCAATCACCCTCACCTATCATCTGGGGCTGGGTACAATAGGCCAGAAGTGGCTGCAGTTGAAGGGACTTAGTCCCACCCCAATAGAATTAAAAAAAATATTGGATTTTATAAAAATATTTCTATAAATCAGCCTCATTTACCATATGAGCCCTATTTTATAAGCCTCCCTTCTACTACTACTACTACTACTACTACTACTACCACCACCATCACCACCACCGCTACAAAGCAAAAGATTTTTTTATGCACTCTTTAATGAAAATTCATATAGTTTCCAACCTGAAATTTCAAGTACGTATCACTAAGTTGGGCCGGAAAATTAAACATACCTGGCAATCTGATCAGCAGGCCTCTACATTCTCCACACTTGAACCCACTTGATTATGGGGATGCATTAAAAAAAAAGTTTTAAGGTATGGAAGTACAAGATCACAATAACCTCATTAATCACGTCTTGGTAGCTGCAGCAGACATCAGAAGCCAGCCTTGAAAACTGGTTTGTACAAGGGACTCCATGTAATATCACTGTGAAGCATGCATGACTGCTGTACGAAGTAACTTTGAACGGTTCTTCTGGAGAAATATGCAAACTGTATGTGAACCTCCACTTTATGATCAAACAAAGGTAAAGCTGTCCCTGTGCTTGATTAATGAAGCACTATGAACATTTTGCCAGGAAGACACATTGGGGGGGGGTATAGTTCCACCATTCTTGACCTCATCACCAGAAAACTTTCAGTTATCAGCTTCACATCCTTGTTGCTTTACCCCAGTGCCCATTATATAGGTGGCTGGGTGGGGCCCAAAGACAGTCTGAATACTCTGGAGTTGAGAAAAATCTGCCCCTACAGGGAATCAAACCCCAGCTGTCTAGCCCACAGCTTGTCACTATACTGACTATGTTATCGTGGCTCTACTTCATGATCAGAGACTTGTATTTTGAATTTTTCCTTCTTATTCATCATAATTAAACGTAACAAATAATGACGTAAAATGTAAATAAAAAATGAAGGCACAAATGGAAAATTATTTAATTTTCTTAAAAAGTGGTGAAATATCATAACCCAACAAGGGTAACAAATCAAACATTAATTTATTTTTATTTTCTGATCCAAACTATAGCCTCAACATAGGAATTTGAATCACTCTTATAAAATGTTCGCTGATTTTATGTGAGTATATATGGATTTTATAGCTTAGCTCATTCCCAGTCAGATATGCCATGTAAACATAGATCCAGTTCTCAACAGTAATGAAACTATGGATAACAGAAATTCAGGATGATTGAAACGTACATAATTTAACTTTATTAAAACAGAAACTGGTGTGGAATTCAGTTTTAAAATGTTCAAAATATGCAACGTCAATATGATGCACAATAATACGGTTGCCTTCAATGTGGAGATCATTGCCAGTATTCCAAAACTGACATTCATGCTGCCACTGCAAAAATCTTACATGGAGTACATATCCACACATTCTTCATTTGAAAATGTAAATGGCATGTATCCTAAAAACTAGCTTTTAGAATATCAGCTGATGGTCAAAGCCCTAAAACCTAGTACAGTAAACCCTCGCTAATCAGGAGTAATTGCTGGAAGAGGCCATCAGGGTTAAGTGATAATCCGGATTAGTGAAGCAAAATGTAGCCTTAAAAGGCCAAAAAAAAAGAAAACTAAGAACACAAATAAATGAAAATTTAACATGTGTAGTTCTGAAAAGAATAAATAAAAAATACCACTGTACAACCTTTATTGTAAAATATAAAAAGTCAATACTTTTATTCATCAATAGAAGACTATAAGCTGTACTTGCTTTTTAACGTAATAGTGCAGAAAGCAGTCTTCAGGGATGTGGCACCATGTAGATGTGGTGTCTCTAATACTGGACTATATATGAGCTATCAAAGGCTCCACATAAATTTGTGACTGGCACCAGCCATGACAGTAAAAATCTCCCAGACTACACCGTGTCACATCTCAGAAGACCACTCTGTAAACGTTAACTGTTAACATTTATCCATACCTTCACATAAAAAACTGTGCAGTACCATTAGGGGGCGAAGTAAAATTTTAACTATTTTTTTTATTTTACTCATACTGCTTCAAATTAAGAATCCTTTGGCACTTGGATCTGAAAGAGAGGAGAGTAGAAGGGTAATATGTTCATGTAATTTCCAAAATAAGATGCCATAACATTACACAATGCCACTCAAAAGGGTGCATATGCACATTATTCCCATTTCTCATAAAGCACACTTTTATTTTTCACAGGAACAGTTGCACTGCAAGCAGAATTTTACAAGCAACACAAAAATTTTATGTTAATTTCACCTGAGGGCAATTATGTCAAAATCCTCTATTAATTTCATTTAAGTTCAATTAATTCAAAATTTATTGTCTCCTTAATAGTCATATGAAGTATTTCATGTGCTTATACCCCTAACAATGCTTGTACACTGCTCAGTTGTTATGGTTCATAGCTGAGTCTTGGCTCTGCATCTTCATTTTGTTGACAATGGCTCACTAGACATGTTCCCATGGCAACGAATACATGCAACAATAGAAGAATTGTTGGAGGCGTTGTTTTGTCTATGGTCTGTGTCACATCAAAGGAGAGTTTCTGGATCTACCTATTCCCCAATAGTTGCTAGGCAATGGTTTGGTAAACATGATTCCAGTCACTCTAATCTACATAATCCGCGTTACAGAGGTGTCGTTAAACAAACTACAAAGGAAAGCCTTCATTACAAAAGAAATTTAAAGCAAAGTTTTTCCTATATACACCACAGACTTTAACATCATAAATGTGCACATTATACCCTCAGATTTATGTACGGGTTTCGGATGCTCCTCAGCATAAACAGTGATTCTTTCTGAAAAGCATTTTCTGACTGGTATTTGTAGTGGAGACTGTATATTTTTGAGCATAGGAAGTGTTTGTCTGTCTATTTGTAGTTTGTATACAGATACTGTCGGTAACTCAGACTCTATGTGGACCAATGACTGGATGGCAGTGAATTATAATGCCGAAGGAAGTAGTCATTGAATTTGTCTGGAGAAATTCCTAAATTCTGAGAGTCGGTACATCAGTCTACATTTGAATCGGGCATTTTCTGAATATCAGATTGAAGGAGTGAAATAAGAAAGAGACAGGAACAAAGCATACTTGATAAGTATTTGGACTGTGTGAGTCTGTCTCCATTCCCTTCTACCTGAAGATGGAGTCAGGTCAACCCTCAAAATGCTGTGTATGTTGCTAGGCAATGACTGCAAAATACGCAACTTCACAACAGCCGTGCTAAGTAATGGCTCTTCAAACAACGGCCATTGCTAGGCAGTGGCTGAGCAGTGATCTCGTTGGAACCCCAACAGACACGAAATGCTACAACTGCACTGCAGCAGAAGAACGGTGTCTTTTGTGCAGTCGGCCATAAATAACAAGAAGGAAAACATATACTGTGATTTGAGGGGCAAAATTTTCAGTTTTTTAAACAATTCTCTACAAGAGTCACTTTTCCTAGAATTAGTGAGGATTCTAATTACCCTTTTCTGGAGAATGAAAATAAGGATACTTTGAGGAGACTTGCCCCAAAAGATCAAATCATAAGTCATTAGAGAATGAAAGTATGAGAAATAAATCAATCTAATTGTTTCCTGTGACATATAAGGCTTAATAGTCCTGATTGCATAACAGGTAGAGCTCAATTTAGTGATGAGCCAGTCGATGTGTCCTTTCCATGACAGCATATTGTCAACGATTAATCCGAGAAATCTGGTGTTGGTAGATTTGACAAGCTGATTGTTGCCATGGCCAATGTGCACATCCATTGCCTGGCTATTCTTAGTCATAAAATGTATAAAGTAAGTCTTATCAGGATTTAGTGTCAATAAATTGGCTTCAAACCAGTCTTTGAGAGTTTGAGTAATATTGTTTTCATAATTTACAGGGCAGGAATTAGTAATAATTATGCTAGTATCAGCTGTTAAAAGGACAGGTTTGGATTCACTGTTTATAGCATTTGGCAAGTCATTTATATATAAAAAAAAACAGTAAAGGTCCCAAAATACGAAGGGCGTTCCATATATAATGCCTCCTATTTTTTTGTGTAAATATATAACATCTGAGCTGGATGTTGATGGTGTTGTAGTAAAGGTTGAACCTTCCCGCCAGTGTACTGTTAGTTTGGTTGTCATGCGATGGACAGTGACTGCAGAGCAATCTATTAAAATGGCTTCTGACATAGAAGTGCATACGAAACAGAGATGTGTTATTGAATTTCTCACTGCCAAACAAATTGCACCCACTGACATCCATCGATGCTTGCTAAAGGTGAACAGAGACGATACAGTGGATGTCAGCACGGTGAGGCAATTTGTAGGGCGTTTCAACAGTGGCGAAAGTGAAGTGCACAACAAGCCACTCCCTGGGCATCCCTGCTCAGCTGCCACTCCTCACAATGAACAGCACCTCATCCAT